TGAAACAGGAGATTAAGTCTAATACATTGTGTCTGCCCAAGATTGAACACATCATTAATTTTGGACAGGTTTTATAATTCTTTATCTGGGAGCTCAATAATGATATTTTGAACTGAATAATTCCAGTTTATTTTCCACTCTGTCAGGCTGGACTGGCCCTTATTAGCTCAGGCTTGGTGCTGTTACTCCACAGTGATATATGGGCTTTTAATTGCTTCTGCAAATGAAGTTCAGCTCTAATCTTTTTGAGACTCTGCATTCCCCCTAAACAGGCCTCCACTCCCCAGTCGAACTTCGCCAGAAGCCGGCAGAGAAATGCGCAAGCTTTTGGTTTTATTCAGCCGCCTTTCTGCAAACAATGAGTATTCGCTCTCAAAAGCGTACAATGGAATCCACGCAGTTAGGCAATGAAATTATAACCGAGCATATTTATGCTTTAATTGAGTTGTTCTGAAGTATTCGTACAGTGCCAGCTCGCTAATTGTGTTGTTATAATCAGGATGTTTAATATTAAGAAATCAATTATTCACCAGTAAGAGTGAGGGTCAACTCACCATTTCCTTACATAGAGCAGTGTCAGTCGTATACATGTGTGCTGTACTTCAATGAATAAGTACTGCAAAACTTTCTTATTCATGTTTAGTTACTATTGGAAGCGGTCTTTGTGTCCTCTGAAGTGAAGAAGTAAATCGTTTGGATATAATGGCTTGTGAAACAAACATTCTGCCCTTTCTTTCAGATCCCCTGATTTGTAAAACACACTGTACTGTACAGCAGCTTATTTGAAGTGGGACATTAGTTAAATATTCATGGCCAGCCCTTGGTGCCGTTTGTGTGTGGTGCTGCTCCGGTCTCCCCTCCCTGTAAACCACTCATATTATGAATGAGAATATTGTCACGTAGCTGGTCTCTGATTGGCTGAAATCCCAGCCTCGTCCCCCTCCCACTCCCTTTCGCTGAGGTTAGGTGGAATCCCAGTGACTAGTTTATATTGTATATTGATCCTGAAACCACTGTTTATATTGCATTAGGGTCCCCGAGGGGAAATGTAGCATTTAGACTTTTAATCAGTTAGGGAGTATTTATGATGGGGCCTCCCTGCTATCGATTCTGCCCCCCCCCCCTTCACTGTCCACACAGAGCGCCTCACACACAGTGCGCCTCACACACAGTGCGCCTCACACACAGAGCGCCTCACACACAGTGCGCCAGTGAGCCCCCTGGAGTTCTGTGGCTGGCTGGCGGAAGTTGCAGCGTGTTCCGCTGCGTATTCACCGGGCGTGGCAGGGAGCGTGTCTGTTCGCCGGCGTTCCCCCCCAGACGGGGATCTTTTCTGAACGTGTTCGTGTGGGTGGGGGGGGGGGGGGGAGCCCCACAGAAACCCCAGACCCCCCATAAATGTGAGGATGACATAGCCCTCACCTGAGTCTGCCTGTGGCTAAGAACAGGAGCTTGTGTCACAGATAGGGAATTTTCAGAGTGCCCTGTTTTCAAAAATAATAATAAAAAAACAAATCGGGCATCGTTACATCATGCACTGTTGCTACTGCACATACAGACTAACACACACACACACACACTCGACTGACAATGTTCTCCCCCATACTCTGTACATTTGATTTTTCATTTTCCGTGGAATGTAATTAAATTTTCCTCTGGCCTTTGAACGGTTAATGAGGATATCTTTCGTGTCTGGGGGAAGCTGCAGATCTCTCCTGCTGAATTCAGCTCGGAGCCTGAGACCGCAGCCAGCTCTCATCCATCTTGCTGTCCGCCGTCATTTCATGTCACATTTCGAGGCGGCGCAGATCTGTTCGGTGGAGCTCGAGATGAATGAAAGCGTTTCCCTCCCATTCAGCGCGAAGCCCTGTCACTTTCGCCTAATGAACGCTTAAACACGGCCCGAAAAAAAAAAAAGCAGCTTCCTACATTAGATGGTCCTTCTCCCACCTCTCCTCCTTTAGCAGTTTAAGGCTTTTTCATTACGTTGAGACATTGTTACCAGTCATGTACATTATGTTGAGTGTGCCTTCAAAGGCTGTTATCAGTCATCGTCCTCTGCGCATCGGTTTAACGCTTAAAGCAGTGTGGCAGATTTATGACCCTCAGTTTGCCACTGGGCTGTCTTTGGCCTGAGAGTCCGGAAACCGCCTGAGCCACAGCTCATAGCTGCAGTCTTTACTTCTCCACAGGGGGGCGATGTGGAGAAGGATTCGCAGTTCCACACGCATTGACCTTATTTCTCAAGTTTCTCATGTGGAGGCTCCCTAGCCTGCTGCTGCTGTAATCTCGGCTGTAAGGCCTGTATCTCCCCCAGCTGCAAATGGGGGCAGAAACTCTTGCTGTGAGTCCTCTCCTCTGATGGGCCGGCTTCGCAGTGGAGGGAAACCTTAACCTTTTTAATCCTACGCTAGATATATACAGAGACCGTGACGCCACACTGTGCTGGCACTCGTCATTCATTTTCTGTGGACCAGTCTGAAGTTACCAAAATGGCCATCACCAGCAGGAACCAGTGACATTGGACCGGTGAGAAGTTTAAAACCCCAAAACTTTATGAAAATCAGCTTTGGGTTTTCAGTGGGGCAGCGATGCTGCTGCTAACCTAAGAAGAGTATCCCAGGTAACCTTGCAGTAGCCCGTTGGTTTTATACTCATGTGACACACTGAATAATGAGCAAGTAGCATGATAAGCTAGCACTCCCCACTTTCCACCAGTCCAAGCAGAGGCGGTGCTATGAAACACCAGTGCTGTGCCGACAGTGAAACCCTCCGTTCGGTGAAGCTGATGGCTGTTCATCATCAGATCTGGGGGTTGTTAACCTCATTTTCTCAGGTCTTTCCACTGTCTTTGGAATAGGGAAAAGGGTGCACATCTACCTATCGTTGTCATCACAGTCAGAATTCAAATCTGAAAGCCAGTAAACAAATGAACGTGACTGTGAGCAGGACCTGGTTGTGCCGTAGTCTTGTTATCTGAGAGAGGACGCACTGCTTTGTTTATATACCCCAAACTTCTGGAGCCAAACACACACACACACACACACACATACACACACGGGCACACACGTGCACACACACACACATACACATACACACAAACACACACACGGGAAAACACACACACATGCGCGCACGTCCGTGTCCCGTAAATCACAGCACAAAGAAATCGTGAAGCCGCAGCTGTTTTACATGATTAATTAAATGCGTTATCAAATGCAAATTGTTGCATTGGTCAAGCGGTAGGGGGAAGGAATGCAGGGAAAACAAATCCTATTACAGGCCTAATGGCTAAACGAACGCGTGGCGTGAAAGCTTCTTCCGCCAAAATATATCAAGCTTTTTAAAGAGGTTCATTGCAGGGTCTGGGTGCTGTTAATTTCCTTAAGGAATACCTAGCAGTGTCCAGTATTGTGAAATGTTCCATGCTGTTTAAAATGAGATCTGGGGTGATCCTCAGCATGGAACAGGGACTAAATCAGACTCTGGATTTGTTGAAAACGGGGTGGGTTGATCGGCGAGAGCAAGCTTTTCTTTGGACATCTGCATTTTCTAAGGATTGTGGGATCTATTTAAAGCAGCTGTGTCTCTCTCTTTTATAACTTTTCTTTTCCTCTTCCTCCCTCTTCCTTCATCTCACCAGTCAAAGAGGCAAGGAACCTGGTGCCCATGGACCCCAACGGTCTGTCCGACCCGTACGTGAAGCTCAAACTGATCCCGGACCCTAAGAGCGAGAGCAAGCAGAAGACCAGGACCATCAAGTGTTCCCTCAACCCCACATGGAACGAGACTTTTACATTGTGAGTCAAACCCACTGCAGCGTAAAACCTTAATGCTTACCTGTGTGTGTGTGTGTGTGTGTGTGTGTGTGTGTATGCCTCTGTAATGGTATTGAGTGAGTTGACTTTAATGTTAGTTAGCTGCTGAGGTTAAGCTGTGTAGACAGCAGTATACTGTTGGAGTTGTAACCCTGACATGGTGAGATCCTCATAAATCACCTGCTGCACAAGGTGGTCAGTCCCCTGCTACGTCACTATAACTTTCATTGGATTGTGTTGTTGAGAGAAGAGCTTCCAAACTATAATTAATCAATCCTTGTTCATTATGCATTATAAAAGCTTATGGTTTTGAGCTCAGGGCATAGTTTTGTAGTAGTTTAGGGCTGGTTTCCCTGTCCCGGCCTAGTCCTGGACTAAAATCTTTTGTCAGTTGAGATCTTTATTGAAGTTTTCTTTTAGTCTAGGACTTGGGTCGATCCATACCTGGAACACCAGCCCATAATGGTGTAACGTGGAGTTTTGATTGATAAATGGAATCCAGAAGGTTCAGTTGAATGCTTTTGTCGTAAAAAAAAAAAAAAATGAGGCTTGTGAATGTCTTCAACCATGAAGCAGTTTGAAGCAAGTTGGCTGGTTATCTAAAGTTCATTTCAGAGCTGTGCACTCTGCTCCATGTTTAGCTGTCATTTAAAGATTGATTGTGTGAATGCTTTTTAGCGTTAGTGCTGAAGCTTGTCGCCATCTCTGCTCTCTCCCGCAGTAATCTGAAGGAGTCGGATAAGGACCGGCGGCTGTCAGTGGAGATCTGGGACTGGGACCTGACCAGCCGGAACGACTTCATGGGCTCCCTGTCCTTTGGCATCTCCGAGCTGCAGAAGATGGGAGTGGACGGATGGTGAGGGGGAGGGTTGGAAGGGGCAAAGGGTACAGGTCAACTTACCTGCTGACAGGACAGACTATGTCTTAGCATTACAACGGGATTATCAGGGCACACGCACACAGTCATGGTTATGTTTGCACTCGTCCACATAGCAGCTTTGTGAAAATGCTCTTTTCTTGCCCTCCGTGTTGCAGAAGGCTGCGTTTGGTTTGGTTTACATTTTTACACATTTACCAGACACTCTTATCCAGAGATTGCATTTCTACACACTACACATTTATACAGTTGGATATTTACTGAAGCAATTTAATTTAAGCGCCTTGCTCCAGGGTACAAAGGCAGTGCCCTGCCTGGGAATCGAACCCAGAACCTCTGAGTCGGAAGCCTAACACCCCTAACCATTTTTACAAAACAATTTTTACCCCACGCCCCACCCCCCCCCCCCCCCCCCCCCCCCCCCCCCCCCCCCCACCCACTCCAGAGCCTTTCCCAGCATTCAGTGTGGTAGTTTAACCAGAAAAGACAGGCGTCTTGTTGGGTAATATCTGCCAGCAGCCGACCACTTCACCAAACAGGCCTTTGGCCCTTCCTTCTGAATGATTCACAGCTACCAATCGTTTCACTTTACCTTCATCTACCCCAACCCCCTCCCTTCGCCTGGCAGACAGCGGGCCTCGTGGTTTTGTAGCTGGTGTGGAACAACGGCGCATTAAAGAAAACCCTTTGCCTTGGGCTGTCCTTCATAAAATAATCATGTGAAAGCTTTTTATTTTATTTTTTATTTTTTTTTATCGCATTTCGCATAATGTTATCGCTCCGTGGCAGGATCCCTCCACATGACGAGCCTGGCTAAGCTCACGTCCTCAGGACATTGCGCTCCACGTTTCACACCTAACTGGCCCCATGGATAACCAATCACAACGCACGATCAATCGCACCAAGATCCTGGGACCAATGGCATGGCCTCAGATCAAATCCAATTTATTCGAATGGCTCATTTACACAAACGTTCGCCGTAGCACGCTTTGCAGTAGACCTCAGCCTTAAACCCCCACGAAAGCAAGCCTGTGTTGTTGACTATGTTACGTGTAGGCACACAGAAAAGAAACAGGGTTCCAAAAGGTCGCCCTCCTCTCCCTCCCAGTGCACAGGCCCTGTTTCCACCCTGTAATTATTTTTTACACTCCTTTATTTTAAAGACTCTTATTTTTGCCGCATATCTTATCGCACCAAAGTTATTCAGAGTAAGCGCTTGTTCCTCCTTGTTCTGCTGACAGCACCAAATTGTGAGCTTTTTAATGAGAAGCAAGCGTTTGAGGGAGAAGAAGGGAAAGACACACAAAAGTCTGCTAATGTGAAGGAGCAGAGCGCTGCCTCCCCCATCCAGCACTACAAAGCTCGCTTCTTTAACAAAAAAAAACAAAAGGAGAGAAAAGGGAGAGGCTGCGAGAGAGGGAAGGATGAGGTGGGAGAGAGAGAAGGCAGCTGAGATGAAATGAGGAAAGAAAAAGCTCATTTGCGCTGTGCTGGACAGGACAGCTACTCCCAGGCAGAGCCCTTTGTTTGGGGAGGTTTGAGGGTTGTGAGGTGTGGGGGTCACGGGCAGGGCACCCCCCTTATCCCAATGACATGACAGCATCACCCCAGCGCGCTCAACAGACACTTATTTCAGCCCCGGAAATAGCAGTCAAACTGACTTCAGATCAGCCCAGAGTAAATGTTGTAACCCTGTCTCCCAAGTTTGAGTTTTTTTAAAAGTTAAGTCTGGCACTCTTTTGAGTCATATCCAATCCGTGGGCCGCTTGACAGTCACCACAAAGACATTTGAGATCTGGAGCGAGGGGTTTTTTTTTTTTTTTTTTTTCTTTTTTTCCTCTCCCCCTCTCACGGAGTCGGTAATTGCTGCCTGTATCAGGTATTCGACGATGCCAATGCCATCCATTATTTCATCACCCAGAACACTTCATTGCACTTGCCAATTAGCGCGTCTCTTTTATTCCTATCGATTAGAGAATTACTGTCAGTGTGAAGGCAATCAGTTGAAACTGAGCAGTGAGGATGATATTGGAGGCCAGGCTTTACTGTACATAATGGGCACTGAACAGAGCTTGCAGCATAAACAGCTATTAGCTCCCTCTGCCATTTCGCCTCTTTCACTTGTTTAAAACAAACCCTTTCTCTCGTGATCAAAACAAATGCAGATTATTGCTCTGGCGTCTTGTTGCCCTCAGTCTCTTTAGCTACTTAAATTTCATAATGAAAGTGAGGGCACCTGATCACTTTTGCATAAACAGAGTGGTATAAGTACAGGTCGTGGTATACCCACGCCGATATACCCATGTGCATCATCCTCCAAATCAGATGTTGAAGTACAATATGAATATGTTACCTTTTCAACACTGTAAACTTGTTTATACACCCAAAATATAGAAGATGAGAGAATTGTAACATAATTCACAAAATGAAATAAACTGAAATAAAATCACTCCCGGTAATTTAAAGAGTTTATCAGTGAAAGAGAAATGGAGTGAGCAATGTAAAGATAACATTTATGCATCAGGAACATTCATCTACACATTAGAACGTTTTATGATGGGAACAGGCCTTTAATCCGATCAAGGTTTAGCATATTGGCTACATGCTGTAACCAGTAACAAGGCTGCAAGCAGTCAGACCCTACTAATCGCGCCCTGATACTAAGCACATGGCGCCATGACAAAATGGCGTTTGCTCTGGAGGGAGCTGTGATTGTCCAGCGGCCATGCTGTCAGAGGTGCTCTGGGTGACGCAGACGGAGATTTAACCAGGTGTCTCTTTTTCCCCCCGACAGGTACAAACTGCTCAGTCAGGAGGAGGGAGAATACTTCAACGTTCCTGTCCCGCCTGAGGGTGAAGAAGGAAACGAGGAGCTGAGGCAAAAGTTTGAGGTGAGTTGGCACACCCTGTCCATTTTCCTGACTGACTCACTGACTGACTCACTCACTCACTCACCGACTTTATTAATCTCAGAATGGAAAAGACAGGCACACAACATAAGCTATAAACACATTATACACTTGCACAGATGATAATACATGGCAATATATACATGATGGTTAACACATTAAAAATGATTTAATATGTAGATGATGCATCTCTTTTATTAAAGTGCCGAATACCAATGGGAATGAAAGACTGTCTGAGCCACTCAGTTTAACTCTTATGGAATAAAAATGGCCGCTTATGCTAGCCCTCCATTTCACATGGGTCTCTGCTCAGTGGACTGCACTCTTTTAGGCCAAACATGGCTCCTTTGTGAAGTAAAATTACAGACAGTTAATCAGACGGATGCTTTCGGCTTAGAAGAGAAAAGGTGGTAGATCTTTTCTCCTCCTCAAGAAACAAATCAGCCAGTATCTTCCTTTTTTTTTTTTTACCATCTCTCTCTTTCTCCCCGTCTCATTTTCATTTACATACCTGTTATCCTCCTGTCAGAACTGAGCCGTGTTTTCATAATACTTCATAAAACGCTCAATAATGGAGGCGTTACCTAAATTACACTGGAGAAGAATTGTCCCCCCAGTTGATATCCGTTTCCCTTTTGAATATTGTAATTTATTTTACATACCCGCAAGTGTTCACAGAATAATAGTCTGGTGTCGCCAGAAGGCATTGTGCCCCTCTTATGAATTTAATATTTAAAAAGAGGTCTGCACTGCCGCAATAAACAAACCCAGCTTCGCATGAAAGTCAGAGAGAGGCGTAAAGGTGTGAAGTGATAGGTATGATAATAGCTGGATCAGTGGCAACCTCGCAGGGCCGGGTAATAGCTGCCGTTTTCCAGGGAGGGACAGTAACCCAGGTAACAGAAACCCTGGTAACCTGGTGGACACTTTGTGATGCATTTAGAAGCCTTTTACTGACAGCCACACTGGAAAGCATCCATTTACAACCTACCTGTGTTACCTGGCTGTGTTACCTGCCTGTGTTACTGTGTTAATCTAAAATTTCGGGCTTGAAACTTCCCTGTTTAATAATGCAGCCGTTGCAGAAAACATATCCCACCCAAGGAATGTCAGAGAATTATGGCAGGAGAAAGGATTCTGGCACACAAGTCATATGAAAGTCCGAATCACAATTTTCTACAATAATCCTACAACATGTGTGAAAAGACATGTGCGATAAGCAAAACCTGTCCAGCCAATCGTGTATGGGGGCGGGTCCTTCCTAGAGGCCCCTTTTTGCTGTGGCTTTGAAACTCAGGTCAGAGGTCAGAGGTCAGAATTGAGCTGAACTGCTGGTAGTGCAGACCTCAGAATTTTCTTCTGTTTTTTTTTTAATTGTTTTTATAATCTTTCCCAAATCCGTGTCTCTGGCACAGTCCCCTCCTTTCTCTCCCTGCCACATTTCCTGCACAGTGATAGTGGGGTCATCTAAAATCATGCTCACGCAAACAGAATTTCCAGGCAAACTGTCATTAAGATGCTGGACACTTGGCCTTGTTGTCTCTCTTCAAGTTCTCATTAGAAGCGACCTAGTGGCCCCCTACTTCCCCCCCCCCCCCATGCTCCCACACTCCCCCCCCCCCCTTCCTGAAGTCTGCTTTGCAAATTGTGAGGCTCTGTCAGAGAAACTGCTGATATGGATTTGCATTCAGTCACACGTTATTTTAAAGAGACACGAGCTGACTGGTTCACTGTGACCTCCCTCTGAGCCTCCCATGGCTACTCTTTTATTATTATTATTATTATTATTATTATTTATTTCATGCTTACAGTATTTCCTGTCTTTCTCCTCCTGCTGTATTCCATCCAGTGGGGGGTGGTGGATCTCAGTGCGTTTCTGAGCAGCTAGCTACCCTGGCGGGCAGGGAGGAGAGGTGAGAACCACGGCCTCAGCCCAGAGCCCCAGTCATGGCTCAGCCGTTAGCGTCGACCCCTCGCCATGTGAGAGGAGTCACGGTGTCCTCTGGTTCCAAGGCACTGGCACTGAGGCTCTTTGAACAGATACCCCTGTCTCACCCCACCCCGCCCGGCCGCCGGCCGGCTCGGCCCCGCCTCCTCGTCTGCTCTCGGATCAGGATGTGGAAGGACAGAGGAGGTGCCCTTTCGTCCCGCCGGAGCAGGCCCGCGGCCGGCCCAGCGGCCCCTGCCAATCAATGTGCGTTAACGTTGTGTAACCCTGCCCTTTTCACCATGGCTGGAAATCAATAGGCCTGACCTTTTGGCGCTCTCCACGTCTCTGTCAGGATGCCTCTCATTGGCAGCGCCGGCCTCTCCCGTCCGTGCCGCGCCGCCTCTCTGACGAAGCATGGGGGACGCGTTTCTGCCAGCACCCAGGGTCAAGCATATGCCTGGGCTTTCTCCGTATCAGAGCCGAAGCACGACCCCCAATTTGCCTTTCGGCGTTCCCTGGCGCTTCCTCCCATTTGTATT